ATTTATTATTATTGCAAATGTAAACTTCTCTAACATTTTTTTTCTATAAGTTTTTATGAAAAAATGCTGAAAAATGAAGCAAAAAATTTTTTTGCAAATCCTGCTGATTCAAATATCAACAATGTAATATTTGCTAGCTGTCTAAAATATGTTTTGTTGTAATTGAATAGTTTGTAATAGTTTTGAAAGCATCAGAATGGGTTGAAATGAAAGAAATTCACTGCATGCTATTTTTTTTTTTTATGTATTTATTTATTTTTTATTTTTAAAAAAAATATCATTAAGTCCAAGAACAAATCTGAACTGAAAATTTTTAATGAAAGTTTTTAATACCTGTATTTATACTAATACTTTAATCTACATAGTAGGGCTTGTAAGTTTAAACAATTGTTCTTTGTTGCAGACGCGCATGCAGAGCCTTCAGCCAGAGCCAGCTGCCCGCTACCGTAACGTGATGGACGCTTTGTGGCGAATCGTGAGGACGGAGGGAATCTGGAGGCCAATCAGGGGTCTGAATGTTACAGCTGTAGGGGCGGGGCCAGCCCACGCACTGTACTTCGCCTGTTACGAAAGGTTGAAAAAGGTCCTCGGTGATATCATCCATCCAGGAGCGAACAGTCATTTGGCGAACGGTACCAGTTTTCCCGCCCATCAGCACTGCTAATTCTCTCGCCGGCACATTTCTACATAGTGCAGTCAGTAAATGTGTTCTTTTTTGCTTTTTCAGAAGACCTTTTCAACTTTATTAACATATTAGTAGCAATGACAGCATCAAAATTAAGTGAAGTTCAGCAGTGGTTTAAAGCCATCAACATTCTGGAACTAGCTATTTGGCAGTGACTATGTTATTTGTATGAATCATGTATTACTCAAACATCTACCTCTTTAAAAATGTCCTTCTAGTATGAGGTCAAATCCCAAAATAGCCAAAAATGCCGGTCTCTGATATCATGAGAGCAGCTATAAATAAAGAGAAGATCATGTGGGTAGTAAATCTTTGAACATACAATGCACTGCAATAAATAATCCATGTTTTTAATTGCTTAAATTATTATTTTTGTTTTAATGAATTACCTTCAGGTTGTATATTTAACATCTGACAAACAAATCAGTGCAAATCTTTATGATAAATTTAACTGAATAGCATCGCTAGCTTTGTTGAAATACCTTAAAAGCTAAACCTACAGTAATGTCACTATGCAAGCTAAACTGGCCTGCTGTTCGTCTGTGTAATCTAATATAAGCTTTTCTAACTTTTCTAATGTGCAGAGTAATAGAAAATTGGGTTATGGATGTGTTATGGATTTATATTTTATTGTATTTGTCAGATTGTGCTGTAATGGGTATTTAGGCTTATCCTCCACTTCAGAGCTCATAGTGAAAGTCATTGTTGGTGTTTTTGTGTAGTGTCTCTTTTCTTTCTCTTTCCTCCAGGTCAGAGTGAAAGGGTGGTGAGTAACTGCTGCCATATCACCATTTACCAGTAGAATTGCCTGAAAAGGAATGAAAATTATTATTGAAGCTGCAGCAGTTTTTGCTTCTTACCATAAAACAGGCACGATGAGTGAAGTAAATGCCAGTATCCTGAACAAAAGACTCTTTCTCCTGATTTTACATTCCCCAGTTTATCCAGTCAATCCCTAATCTCTCTCTGTTGAATCATAGGGGGTATTTGGTGGCTGTTCAGGACACAGTTTTTCTCTGACTGTCATCTGATCCGTCTGTATTTCTGATTGTTGTATTTTGAGTCCAGTCACTATCCACTCTGTGTGCATGCTCTAATTTTGGTGCTAATGTCTGAGGGTATGTGTTACAGGGGCCGCTGGATGTGTTGCCACATTGCTTCACGATGCTGCAATGAATCCAGCTGAAGGTATATTTGCTTTAATCTCCACTTTCTTTAAAAAAGAAAATAAGATTATAATATACCATTCACTACTATTCAAAATTTTGGGGTGACATACTTTTTTTTTGGGAAAGAAATGAAAAATTTAATTTGGTGAAGATGCATTAAATTGATCAGAAGTGACAGTAAAGACATTTTGTAATATTACAAAAGATTTCTATTTCAAATAAATGCTGTTCTTTTGATTTTTTTTTATGCATCAAAAGAATTCTGAAAAAAAAAAAATCACAGTTTCCACAAAAATATGAAGCAGCACAAATGTTTTCAACATTGATAGTAATAATAAATGTTTCTTGAACCGCAAATCAGCATATTAGAATGATTTCTGAAGGATCATGTGACACTGAAGACGAGTAATGATGCTGAAAATTCAGTTTTGCCATCACAGGCATGAATTACACTAAAATATATTCAAATAGAAAGCAGTTATTTTAAATTGTAAATATATTTTACAATATTACTAATTTACTGTATTTTTCAATATTCTTGATGAGCATAAAAGACATTCAAAAAAACTCATAATGACCCCACACCTTTGACCAGTAGTGTATATTTATTGTGTAATTGTTTTTATTTTGTGTTTGTTTGGATATATATGTTGGATTTGTTTTGTCATGACAATAACGTTTTTGGGCACATACCATGGTGTTCTTTGAAATATATTGATATAACATGGTATTTATCAAAGTGCCATGGTGGTACTATCAGATACCATCACTTTACCATGGTGCCACGGTAAGACTTTTGTTGTTTGCTAAATTTGATCAGATTACACAGCTACTTAAGAAATAAAAAATGTTTATTACACCAATGCTAATAATTAGTAGGGCTGCAATAGTTATCGTTCCGTATATTTTATTTAAATAATTATATCTTTATTTAACTTTTAAATTCTCTGTTTTATTGAAAAATAGCATGTTATTCCACATCCTGCACAATGTACTCTTCCAAAAATGCACAAATGGAGTTGTTGCAGCCCTACTAACCAGCAAACTTTGACTCCTTTGGTCTGGAAGTTCACTGTGCACTCCCAGCCAGGAGATGGCAGAAAAGATCTTAATTTCCTGGCTAATTTCATCACAAAAAAAAAAAAAATTTTTTCCAAAAGCCAGCCTTGTGGGAGTAGATTGGCCTTGCTCTAATTAACAGCTGTGCAATGTTGAAACAGTAGCATTAGCCGAAATTCCCCAGTGGGCCCAATCTCAGACAGCAATGTCTGTTTCTGCACTCTTGAGGCTCAAGGTTATTCAGCGCAGGTGCCAGACTGAGACCTTGCATGGACACCTGCTCTCATTCACCTCGTCTGTTCCCCGCAGACCGCTTGACTGTAGGTCAGACTGGAGACGCGTTTGATCCACTCATGTCCGGACATTTCTGCTTTGATGGGGCTACTGTATTTCAGTCATGACCTGACTTCTTGCACTTGCCTAATGTTCCCCTTCCTGTCCTCTTTTGTTTCCTGTCTGACTGGCTGCGACGACCGCCCTTGTTCAGTGGTGAAGCAGAGGATGCAGATGTATAACTCGCCATACCGTGGCGTTCTGGACTGTATACGCTGCGTGTGGCAGCAGGAGGGGGCGCTGGCCTTTTATCGCAGCTACACCACGCAGCTCACCATGAACGTCCCATTCCAGGCGTTGCACTTCATGACCTACGAGTATCTGCAAGAGCTGATGAACCCCCATAGACATTATAACCCCTCCTCCCACATGGTGTCGGGCGCACTGGCAGGCGCCATCGCCGCCGCTACCACCACGCCACTGGACGTTTGCAAGACGCTGCTGAACACGCAGGAGTCTCTGCCACTCAATTCCATCAGCCAGAGCGGAAGACGCATCACGGGCCTCGGCCATGCCTTCCGGACTGTCTACAGGCTTGGCGGCCTTCCTGCTTACTTCAAAGGCGTTCAGGCCAGGGTCATATACCAGATGCCCTCGACTGCCATCAGCTGGTCCGTCTACGAGTTCTTCAAGTACGTTATCACCAAACACCAGCACGAGAAGCGCAGGATCCAAAGGGACGGAGAGAAGTAACCGCTCACAGCTGGCCTGACCTTGGCTTTCTCTCGCATAACCAACCAGATAAGTACGCGAGCTGCAAAAGGACTGATTTAATAAATGATACGCACATATAGAGTCCAAACACTCATGTCTGTTTACTTCGTTTCAGTTGGCATTTAATACTGAAACTTTCCTGTATAATTCAACTAATAATCATGACCTAAGTTCTCACTGTGAAGGCTCAAGTTTTTATTCAAGACATCCTACTTAAAGGGGTCATATGATGCTGCTAAAAAGAACATTATTTTGTGTATTTGGTGTAATGAAATGTGTTTATGCGGTTTAAAGTTAAAAAAACA